TCCCTTGTCCCAGACCCTGCATTGCATGTGTCCCAGTAGAGTCCCMATGAAGTTCAACTGSTGCTGTGGCCTCTCGGCCTGTATTTGGACTTGAAAGTCTGAATCTGGACTGACCCCTTGACTTAAACCAGAACTGGGACTGTGCCTATTGACTTTACTTTCGKACAGGCACAACTCTCAACGAACAGAYACATTTACTGCTTGAACAGACACTTTACTTTGCACGAACAGGTACACTGCCTGCACGTACAGACACACTCTTACCCGAACAGACATGACATACACATCTCCTGGTGAACAGGTAAGTCTTTTGACAATGCCCTTTGCCTTAGCTTTAGATGTGCCTGTTGATAGAGAACTTGACCTTTGACCTGCTTTCACGTTTCTGAGCCCTGGCGAGATACCTTTTCACAATGCTTTACTTTTACAAGGTCTGTGCTGCGTTACTTTGACAAGGCCTGAGGCCTATTTCGGGTAAAGGCCCTTTTAGGCACTCTGCCCATAGAACATTCAAATACAATGCCCGGGTGTTCTACTCGAAGGGACGTTCTATTTGATAAAAAAGTGAGTAAAAACGAAAATCTCATCTTTTTAGAGTAAGTTGAATATAACGACCAGGCGTTATTTTCGGGTGAAGATGGTAGTTCTCTTCTTCTTCTTCTTCTTCTTCTTCTTCTTCTTCTTTTTATTTTCTTCCTTTTTTTCTTCTTCTTCCAACCATCACACCCCCACCTCGATTTTTTTATTTTTTCAGATCTTTTGCCCTCATTCTTCTTCTTCTTCTCCTCCTCCTTCCTTCGATTTTGAGATTGGCAAGTTCAGAGACCGACCGCGGAAGGATGGGGGGGGGGGGGGGGGGGGGGGGGGGGGGGGACGACTAGAAAGGAGGGAGGAGGAGAAACAAAAGAAGAAACAATGAAGGGAAAGAGAGAAGAAAAATAAAATAATAATGTACCTGCGCGTCATCGTTGGCGATCGAGAATCGTAAATGACGTGGCAGCGACGTTTGAGGACGTGGCGACGATGACGACGACGTGGCAATGTCGATGGCGAAGACGTGGCGACAATGACGACGATGTGGTAATGCCGAGGACGAAGATGATGATGACGAGGCTGATCCGCGTGGATCAGGGCGGGCTGGACGGCGATCGACGCCGCTCCGATACCAGTGTGACGAGGCAGAGGCAGAGCAGCGATGCTGGGAGAGAGGGAGAGTGCGAGCACACACACACACTCACTCAACTCGACACTACTCGACGGACACAGACACAAAGTGACAAAGTGACAAAGTCGCAGTCTGGCACAATGTCGCAGCAAAGTCGCACTGAACACAAGCACTGAGGCTGAAAACTGGTTGCCCGTCCTGGGCTTGAGTCCGTACATAAGTACCGGACTCGAGTCCGTTCCTGAGGGCAAAAGTGAAAACACCTCAGGGCCAGAACTGAAAATCGAAAGTCTGAGAGTGGGCGCCAGAATGTCGGATGGTGCCAAGTGTCCGAAATCCAAAAGTCCTAAAAGAACGATTTTGAAAACAGGCGCCAGAATGCAGATGGCGCCAACTGTCTGAAATCAGAAAAAGCAAAAACAAAGAAAAGAAGATAAGAGAATTGTAAAAACGAAAAAAAGAATAAATAGTAAATACAGCAACTTGGCGGGTGGTAACCGGCAGGCCAGGGATCGAGCCCTGATGGAGTCCGTAACAAGCATTGCATTGTCAAATTGCACGTGATGCACTCCCTTGGATTGGTGGGCAGCGCACAGAGGCAATGTTCCTAGTTGCACGCCATACCAGTGAGTGTGATGACCCATGGGAGCACAGCGACTCCAGCAGAAAGGAACCCCGGCCTCTATGGACTCATCCACTCCAAGGGGAAGAGCAGCCTGTCAGCCGAGTCCCTACAGAAGTTGGTGTACATCCATTGGAACATGCAACTGCTGTGTGTTTCAAAGAGCAAGGAAGATGACTACATTGACTTGAGGGGTTCGTTCTTCGAGTCGTTGATGCAGGCTGGTGAGGAAGACAGTTCGATCACTGAGCCTCGTGCAGATGATGCAGAAGAAGATGGCACTGGGGCAGCAACGGTTGGTGAAGACACCCAAAAGGCGGATTCCATGGACCTTGCACTCTCCTCTCGGGAGTGATATGGACGACCTTGTATGGAGGGGGAAGGACAGCATAGAGGAGGGAAGAGCTTGAAGAAGAAGAGTGAGGAGGCAGAAGAAGATAACGATGAGTCAGCTGACAACAGTTTGTTTCAACTCAACAGACGATCCAACCTTGAGCTGCGAGCAGTACCTGCAATCCTGGGGACGACGTATGTCGTTCCACGTACTGGACACCACTGCACAGATGATGTCACTGCTGAGTCTATAGACTTGCAGTTTGAGCTGCTTGAACAGGACACAAAGTTTCTGTTGCATCTAGGAGATAGCGAGAAAAGAGAGAAAGACGCAGATGAGGCGGACGCGGCAAGGGCAAAGGCAATCGCGAACCGTGATAAGGACAAAGTCGAGCGCCGTGTGAGAGGAGGAGGTCGCATGCAGCTGTCCCGGAGGAGGTCGCATGCAGCTGTCCCACCGCAGAGGGAGATCCAACGCCGTGCAGCTAACCATTGCAAAGGCAGGAAAAGAGCTAGGGGTCGAAGAGCCTGGGGAGTGGAGCAGCAGAGAGGACTGCGGGAAGATGAACAGGAAGGAGAGCATCACGATGAGGAAACAACTCCGCAGAAGCAAGCACTGACTTCAGATGCTCAGCATGAGGAAGGTGTGGATGATCAGCAGGTTGAGCAGCAGGCCGCACCATCACTGGTGTACTGTTACATCTTCGATGCTAGGGCTAGAGGGACACAGTAGGGCCTAAAGGCCCGACCTTGGCGATTATCAGGCCGTAAAGGCCACATTTTTGGACCAGACCGACGGGCAGGCCCAAACGACATTCTCGTTTTGGGCCTGGCGGTGCTTTTGAGCAGGCCGCCCGCCGATCTGATCTGAACCGTCGATCTCGACGGTTCAGGTCACGGTCAGGCCTCGCAGCATTGAGGCCAGCCTCTTGGCCACCGGTACTTATACCGGTATCAGCCTCATTGTGAGGCATCGAGCCACCGGCATAATGCTGGTGCGTATCGGTTGGCGGCAGCAGCGCTATTTTCAGCACAGGAGCGGAGGACAGCAGCGGCAGCGCGAGCTAGCGCAGCAGCAGCAGCGAGTGAGGAGGCCAGCAGCAGCACGGCAGCCATAGCCGCCTCGACCGCAGCCGGACAGGTACCAGGAGGCGAGGATCTCTTTTCCTCCCTCCACGGTCCCGTTCCCTCCTCCTCACCTCCTTCCTCCTCTGCCATCTCTCCCTTCTTCTTCTTCTTCTTCTTCTTCTTCTTCAGGTTGGAGACTTATACTAGTTGGACAGAGATCAGTGTTGGACTTCGGAGGTAAGAGGCTGTGGTACTTACCGGGTTCGAGACTTGGAGATTGTTGGGGATGATACTCGGCTGCATCACAGATTGGACACCGGTTACATTAGGACTCTGTATCTCCGACATTGGTGACTTATTGTCCGCGACATTTGATCTTGTTCGATGACATTTTGGATTACCATATCGGTGACCTACTGGTTTCTATCTCGGTGACATCTGGTGCTACCTACATCTCCCACCTCTTCGTCTCTCCTCCCACCTTCATCTGTGTATGTGTGTACGGAGCCTGAGCATCGTCTATGCATGGCTCAGACCCCACCATCTCACGATTGTATGTGAGTGGAGTGATATCTGTGTGAGTCAGTCTATGTGAGTCAGCGTTTATCAGACTTCCGTTGCATACATACTCATCCTATATTGGTTGATCTTTGGTTCTGCCCCACACTCGTTGATGAAATCACGAGTATGTAACAGTTTTGGTATCGGAGCAGACCATTTCACGGATCTGCTCACAAGGTAAATCTGATTAGGAATAGATTGCTTCGCTATTCTGTTTAAATCGGCATTCCCAATCAGCTCTGTATTACTATCGAGATCCAAAGTTGATTTTTTTTTTTCATTTTCGGTATTCTGTTTAAATCGGCATTCCGTTTCAATTCGTTATTCGGACTTTTCTTCGGATTTCTGTTTTAATCCGGTATTCTGGTTACTTCGGATTCCGATTAAGTGCATTCTGGGTAATCCGACATTCTGTTTAATTCGGATTTCTGATTATTAATTCGTGATCAGGTTTAAATCAGTACTCTGTTTAATTCGGCATTCGGATTTCAATTCGGTTTCCGTTTTTATAATTCAGCATTCTGATTTTAACCCTGTATTTCGTTTTCTAAATCGGCATTTCCGTTTTATTGCAGTATGGGAAATTAGGGTTACGAAAATTTTTGGTTTTCAATCAACTTGGGAAATTCGAACGTTTTGGAACCGTAAATCCGGAAATTCCGCGGAATCGCGGAAAATTAGGGTTGGGCCCGAAATTTTCACGATTTTTTTTTTTCTTTCCCTGGTTTGAGAAATTCCGAAAACGAACTTGGGCCTTTAAAAATCGGATTTTGTTGGCTGGAAAGCCCGAAATTTTACGTTTTTCAAAATTTCGAGTGTTTATGTTCCAAAATTTCCGATTTTTTTTTTTTGGCAACTTGTTCATAATTGTTCCCCAGAATAGCAACTTCCGGGAAGTTCACTATTCAACGGTGAACTCCTGGACTAAAAGATGATCTCAACAGACACCTAATCTTGATACAATTCAAATTCATTCATTATCATTATTGCAAATATTGTTTTATTGAAATCAGTCTTGCAAATTCACACTCAAACATGCATGCAACAGATGAGAATAACTTGGCGCTGTGCACCCAACTCAAACTCGGAGATATGGTAGCTTGCAACTCAACTCAAATCCAAGTTCACTTCAGTTKGCTATGRMRCTRGGHGCCCTCACTTACACGTTCGACTCAGAGTTCACACGCAACTCGACTCCGGATCACCCTGGATACCATGCACGCCAACCACTGCACACACACATACACACTCACTAACTGTCTATGGCTATGGCGCATGGCCACTAACAGCTAACTAGCCTATCACTAACTTCTGCCCACTTCGTCTTCAGGACATCTGCAGACCTCCCTTGCACAAGACGCCCGAGCAGCGCTTCCGCAGAGCTTCCGCAGGAATGAATGAATGGCTGGACGCAGCCTCTTGATTTATACTTCTGTGTTGCATTYGTTTGCCTTGCATCCCTGGCCCATGAGGCACACAGTCCCCCCCGTGGTACTTGCTGGACCGGACTGGTACTTTCTAGACTTTCCCATGACTGCATGGTGACAACCCTACGCCGCAGTGCAGTCGCACTGGGATCCTACTATTTGCCCTTGCCACTTGTCCTCGTCTCCAACATGGGCTTGCTTTAGTCACACCACTTGACCACTTGCCAACCTTCTAGAAGGACTGCAGCTGGACTTCTACTCTACAGGTCTATG